CCAGGTGCACCTGCCACCCCTCTCCTGTGCCCACCCCATCCACCTGCGGGACCCCGACACTCGGGACTCCCCGCAGAGCTCCTCCAACCCGGGGACCACCCCCACCCAGGAACGCCCCTTCCAGGAGGCCCCTGTGCCCAGAGACCTCATGTCCAGGCAAAGCCCCCCTGGATGACAAGTAGGGGCCAGAACGCGGCTTCTGGGGGAGATGTCGCTTGGGAAGCTAGTTGGCCTGCGCACCCCTCAAGTCTTCTCAGAAGGGGGAGACGGGGCTCATCTGGATCCTGCGGAAGTCTGTCCCACGGCTGCCCCTGCCCCCTCATCTCTGCACCTCAGCCTCCCTTAGGCTCAGATTTCCTCCTGGTCCAGCCCAACACGTGTGTCCCCCCCCTCTGCCCTGTCCCTCAGAACATTGCTCTGTATGAGTGGCTGCCCAGCTTCCTGCAGAAAACGCCCCCGCCGTATACAGGTGAGGATGAGGGGGTTGGGAATCCCTGGGCTGAAGACTCATAGTGGGGAGAAGACAGCTAGATTCATGCGATGCCAGGATGTGGGTGTGGGGATCTGATCTGTTTTGTGGCCTGTTTACTATAGGGTACCACCCTTTCACTGACCCCAGCATCTCCCCGGAGTTCGTGGTGGCCACTGAGCAGTTCTTCTCCACTATGGTGCCCCCTGGTGTCTACATGAGGTCAGGGAAGACCTGGGGGGGGGAGGGGGAGGTGCCAACAGGTACATCACAATGATCCCAGGTGCTAAGGGGTGGATTCGGAGGTCTGGGGTTTTTCTTGCACCTCTTGGTGTTTTAGAAAAGGGAAGCAGAATTTGGAACACTTAGCATGGTTGGTTTGATCTCAATAGGGAAATCTCCTCCAGTTTTTCTTTTTATTTTATTTTATTTTATTTTTGCCGGTTGTGGGGCCTGAACTCTGGGCCTGGGCGCTGTCCCTCAGCTCTTCAGCTCAAGGCTAGCTCTCTACCACTTGAGCCACAGCGCCACTTGTGGCTTTTTCTGCATATGTGGTGTTGAGGAATCGAACCCAGGGCCTCATGCATGCAAGGCAAGCACTCTACCACTGAGCCACCTTCCCAGCCCTCCTCCAGTTTTTCTAATGGCATATTTGTGAGTGTGGTATATGCTAGTCCTGAGGCTTGAACTCAGGGCCTAGGCACTGTCCCTGAGCTTTTGTATTCTAGGCTAGTGTTCTACCACTTGAACCACAGCTCCACTTCAGCTTTTTGGTAGTTAAATCCTGCCTGGGTTGGCTTTGAACCAGGATCCTCAGATCTTAGCTTCCTGAGTAACTAGGGTTACAGGTGTGAGCCACCAGCACTGGGCCTAATGACAGAATTTCGGTAGCAGAATATGTGATTTGTCCAACAGATAGGTCACCCTCCTCCCTCATTCCCTACTTATCCTGTGTGGACAAACAGCTTACTCTTTCTTTAATTAAAAAAAAATACATTGTCATATCCCTGTTATGTTTAAGGACGTTTGTGAGCCACCTTTCAATCCTGGCCAACCACAACCGAGTCCCTAACCTTACTGAACCCCATCTTACTTTCTTCCCTGAATTCATTCACCTCATCCCGATTTCTCATTTCAGAAACTCCAGCTGTCATTTCCGGGAAGTTCTGAACAAGGATTTGGGCAGCTCTCCAGCTCTCAGGGTCTGCAACAGCTACTGGATTCGGGAGGTCAGGCTGAAACGAGGGATAGGGGTGTGCATGTGTGTCATGATCAATGTCTTTACAAATTCTTAGAAAAACAAAAAAACATTGACTTAATGGTGTGGGTGATCCAGATTGGTGGGAAAAGGACAGGAAAAAAAAATCACCTTGAGACAACTTTCCAAGAGAGCGCAGGCAGTGACACATGTCTGTAATCCCAGCCTCTTAGAAGGCTGAAGCAAGGGGATTGGTTGAACCCCAGAATTCAAGGCCAGCTTGAGTGCTTTAACAAGACTAAAAGACAATAGAGAAGGGGTAGAGCAGGAACAGAAATGAAGGCTTTCTGAAGAGATAAAAAGACAAAAGAAGCTGGGCACCAGTGGCTCACGCCTGTAATCCTAGCTACTCAGGAGGCTGAGATCTGAGGATCATTGTTCAAAGCCAGCTCGGGCAGGAAAGTCCGTGAGACTCTTATCTCCAATAAACCACTAGAAAACCAGAAGTGGTGCTGTGGCTTAAGCGGTAGAATGCTCACCTTGAGCTGAAGAGCACAGGGACAGCGCCCAGGCCCAGAGTTCAAGCCCCACGACCTACCAAAAAAAAAGACAAGAGAGTAGGGAGGGAAGGGGGAAAGGAAAAGCTGGAGAAAGTGTGTGTGTGTGTGTGTGTGTGTGTGTGTGTGTGTGTGTGTGTGTGTGTGTGAATCTTTTCTCCCAAAGTGCTTACCTCTTACCTCCGAGGTAAGAGGGACTGAGCTTTTGGGAAGGACCCTATAACTTATCTTGAATGAATTGTTTGCTTCCTCTCAGAATCCTAATCTGAAGAATACCCAGGATGTGAATGAACTGCTACTGGGAATGGCCTCACAGATCTCAGAACTGGAGGACAGGATAGTGATCGAAGACCTGAGGGGTGAGCATAGAGCTGGAAGGGATGGCAGCCAGACCCAGGAGACTGGGGATCCTTTTGGGTGGGTCAACAGGTAGATCTAGGATGACCATGATCCAGAAGCAAAGATGTACACACAGACTTCAAATACTCATCAGAATAAAATGAAACTTTGAGCTTCCTCTCTCCTAATACACAGTGCTATGTTGTTTCTAACTTAAATCAGATACGGGTATTGGAGTGTGGGGGTGGTGATGCACTGTCTTACTCGGGTCTCTAAATATTTTCATCCAATCTTGCTTTAAGGTTGGGGAAGTATAGGGCATGTAATTTCTGCATTATATCAAGAACCATCTTGAAGCTGGGCACTGGTGGCTCATGCCTATAATCCTAGGTGAGATCTGAGGATGTTGGTTCAAAGCTAGCCTGGGCAGGAAAGTCCATAAGACTCTTAACTCCAATTAACCACCAGAAAACCAGAAGTAGTGGAGCTGTGGCTCAAAGTGGTAGAGCACTAGCCTAGAGCAAAAGTGCTTAGGGACAGCACTCAGGCCCTGAGTGACAAAAAAGAAAGAAAGAAAAAAGATCCATCTTGAGTCTTAGAAGAAGAATCTTGACAAAAACTTGCCCCTGATAACACACAATAACATTGGACCCACATCAAGACAAGGCCAGTGTGGGCATAGATCTCATGGAGAGGGATGTGGAGGACTCTGTGTGTGTCTGTGTATGTGGTGAGGGTGTGATAGTACTGACAGATGGATAGAAGACTGCAGGCAAAGGAAGTGTTGAGAGGATTAACTTCAAAGTCCTGGTCTTTCCTCAGATTATTGGCCTGGCCCAGACAAGTTCTCCCGCACAGACTACGTGGCCAGCAGCATCCAACGTGGTCGAGATATGGGGCTGCCCAGCTATAGCCAAGCCATGCTGGCTTTGGGACAGGAGCCCCCAAAGAACTGGAGGGACCTCAACCCCAAGGTAGAGCCCCAGGTAAAGAAGAATAACGATCATAACGACAGTTTAAGCTTTCCCCTGGCAATGCTGCCTCAAATCCTTTATGTTAGCTTATGTGTAATCCTTATACGGTTTTTTGTTTGTTTTTTTTTGTCGGTCGTGGGACTTGAACTCTGGACCTGGGTTCTGTCCCTGAGCTCTTCAGCTCAAGGCAAGTGCTCTACCACTTGAGCCACAGTGCCACTTCCAGTTTCCTGGTGCTTAACTGGAGCTAAGAGTATCATAGGCTTACCAGCCTGGGCTGGCTTTGAAGGGCGATCCTCAGATCTCAGCCTTCTGAGTAGCTAGGATTACAAGTGTGAGCCACTGGTGCCTGGCCATATACATGTAGTATAGACACTTTTCACCATCTCCCACTTTACTGATGACATTGTTGGCGAGTTCACACACATGCACAGACACTATTTACCTCCCATGATGCCTTAGGTGCTGGAGGCTACAGCTGCCTTGTATAACCAGGACCTGTCTCGGCTAGAGCTACTCCTGGGTGGGCTCCTGGAGAGCTATGGAGACCCTGGACCCCTATTCAGCAACATCATCCTCAATCAGTTTGTGCGACTGAGGGATGGTGACCGCTATTGGTTTGAGAACACCAAGAATGGGTAAGACCTGGCTTGGACCCCACCTCAGCCTCTACCTCGGCCTGGACCAGGATGGCCCCCTAGAGGTGTTGATTCCAGCCCTCCTACTCATGTCCTCTAGGGCTCTTTTCTCATCTGGGTCCTTGGGCTTGGGGTTCCAGAGGCTCCTATTCTCTTCCTACTCTGATAACTCTTGCCTTTCTCCAACCCAGGCTGTTCTCCCAGGAAGAGATTGCAGAAATCAGAAACACCACCCTCCGGGATGTGTTGGTAGCGGTCACTAACGTTGACCCTAGCTCCTTGCAGCCCAACGTCTTTGTCTGGCAGGAAGGTAAGTAGCCTAGGAGTACCTGGTGGTGGGAGGGGGGGAGACAGAACTACTTGGTGACATCCAGAGAGCCAGGTGCTCTCTGCGTTGGGTGGAGAGGTCTACATTCGGCTAATTCTCACAGCAGGTCAATCTGGGGTGGATGCTGAGGAATTTGGGAAGGGGAACAAGGCCCAGGGAGGTAGGCCTTGAAGATGGTGGTGTAGGATATCTTGGTCTTTTCCAAGATGAAGAACCACACCTGCTCAAGGAGAGGGCCCTTGGACTTGGGGCTCTTCTGTGCTCTGTCTCTTAGGTGCGCCCTGCCCACAGCCCCGGCAGCTCACAACTGAAGGCTTGCCCAATTGTGTGCCCCTTACTGTGACTGACTACTTCAAGGGCAGCGGTGCGGGCTATGGCCTTGTCATTGTGGCTCTCTGCTGCTTTCCCTTAGGTGAGTCCTTCAACCTCCTCCTGCTGTCTCTTCTCTGGCCTCCTTCTCCCCCACAGACTAGCTCAGCCCCTCTGAGCTGCACTGGCTCCTGGGATGAACTCTTTGGATTAGCTTGAGGCCAGGCTCCTGGAGTGGAGACGGAGGGGAGGGAGGTCTTCAGAAGGGAGGAGCAGCATCTGAAGCTGCTGGATCAAAGGGGCTGTCCTCCTAACTGGCTTCTCTGGTCTCCTTCAGTGAGTCTGCTTATGGCTGGGGTGGTGGCTCACTTCCGGAACCGAGAGCGCAAGAAGCTACAAAGGAAAGGCAAAGAGAGCACAAAGGAGGAAGCCGTCAAAGTTGGAGTGACAGGTGAGGCCGAGGCAGAGGGGAAGGAGGGAGAAAGAGGAGATGGTGGGGTTGGTGGGGGGCGAGGTCTGAGGAAAAAACTAAGTCACAGAGTTGGGTGGGGGGAGAGCTGATGTCCTGCGCAGACTCCCATGACTCACTCTGTCCAGCTGTCTCTTCCCCAGGGATGGAGTGGCCAGGCCCCAAGGGGAGCAGCTATCCCATCACCATCCGGCTGCTCCCGGACAAGTGCTTACAGGTCCTGGACGGAGGGCTCACGGTGCTTCGCACCATCCAGCTGCAGCCCCTGCAGCAGGTCAACCTCATCCTGTCCAGCAACCGGGGATGCAGGACACTGCTGCTCAAGATCCCCAAGGAGTATGACCTGGTACAGCCCCTCCTGCCCACACAGGAGTTCTCACATATATTTCCCTCTCAGAAGCAACTCAGATGACTACTCCATCCGCAGCCACAATGCTCGCCTGGGAAGGCTGATGTTGGGGAAAGGGGCTCCCCAGATTCTACCTGACCACCACCATCCTTCCCCCCCTCCCGCCTCCAAGACTACTTACCTGGCCCAAGCCTGGATGGATAGGGAGGGACTTTTCTCTGCTTTCCCCAACCTGATGTCCTCTGTGAGGAGGCTGGACCAGAAGTTTGAGCTTTAAGTATGACATGGGGGTGGGGGGGGGCTCCTTCTCACCTAGGTGTTGCAGTTTAACTCAGAAGAGGAGCGAGGCGCCTTTGTGCAGCAACTGCAGGACCTCTGTAAGTGCTGGAGTCCAGGCCTCCGGGTGGCTCAGATGAGCGAGCGCGAGCTCTTCAAGAAGGCTGTCACTAAGCAACAGCGAGGCTGCATCCTGGAGATCTTCTTCAGGCATCTTTTTGCTCAGGTGCCATGACTTGTGCCTTCTGGAGGTGGGGGGGGGTCGAGGGGGGGAGACTGGCCTAGGGGATTGGACCAACCTGGGTTGGGCAGAACCTTCTATGTGAGTGAGCTAAGCTTCCATCCTGTGGGCGGGAGGCAGACAGCTTGGGTTGTGACCCTTGTGGACTATGTGATGTTAGGAAACTCACATCACCTGGGCTCTCTATCTCCATGTTGTCATCTCTGAAACAGTAATTAAAGCCCAGTGCTGGTAACTCATGCCTGTAATCCTAGCTACTCAGGTGGCTGAGATCTGAGGATTGTATTTCCAAGCCAGCTTGAGCAGAAAAGTCTGGGATAAGCCACCAAAAAGCTATAGCTCAAGTGGTAGACCACTAGTCCTGAGTGAAAAAGCTCAAGCGCCCAGGTCTTGAGTTCAAGCCCTAGTACTGGCACACATGTGTATACATGCGCATGCACGCACACACACACACACACACACTTTTTTGTTGTTGTTTTGTGTTTTTGTTTTTGGCTAGTTGCAGGGTCTGAACTCTGGGCCTGGGCACTGTCCCTCAGCTCTTCAGCTCAAGGCTAGCACTCTACCACTTGAACCACAGCGCCACTTCTGGCTTTTTTTCTATTTATGAGGTACTGAGGAATCAAACCCAGGGCTTCAAGCATGCAAGGCAAACACTTTAGCACTGAGCCACCTTCCCAATCCAACACACACACTGTGGAGTAGACCCAGTGAGCTACCCAACGTGACAGATTCTCAAATGTTCATCCCTAGACCAACATGAACCTCACCAGAGTACTTACTTAGAAATGCACCTTCTCAGTTTCCTTCCCAAACAGCTTGCTGGGGAGTGAGACTCACGAATCTGTGTTTGACATAAGCTCCCATTTCTAGCCTCTTCCTGCCACGTCTATGACCAACATCTTCCTGCCCCAGTGCAGGTTGTTTTACTTTGCATTCTCCAAGTTTGCACCCCACCCACCCTCCCTTCCCCACCTCCTCCTTCTGCCATCATTATTCTCATTCTGTTGTGCTCAAGCCTAAGGAGAAATGGAAGGCTGCTGCTATTCACTTGACTTCCCTAGAAGAGCAGAGACTCCCATTAGCATACCTAGGTATCAGCAGGGTTCAACTGTTCAGCATTGGACTTTGGGGAGATGGGAAAACTTATCTGTATTCCACCTAGCCTCACAGCCTTCTTCTCCTTCCTCTGTGGCTGCCCAAGTACAGGTGTTAAACATCAACCAGGCGGATGCAGGGACCTTGCCAGTGGACTCATCCCAGAAGGTTCGAGAAGCCCTGACCTGTGAGCTGAGCAGGGCTGAGTTTGCTGAGTCCCTGGGTCTCAGGCCTCAGGACATGTTTGTGGAGTCCATGTTCTCTTTGGCTGACAAAGATGGCAATGGTTACCTGTCCTTCCGCGAGTTCCTGGACATCCTGGTGGTCTTCATGAAAGGTAGAAGCATGGACGATGGTAGGCCATTTTGGGGTTCTGTAAACAGGGAAGTAGCCTGAATCCCCACCTCCACACACACGTATTTTTTTTTCCTCTCAGGCTCCCCGGAAGATAAGTCCCGACTGATGTTCACCATGTATGACCTGGATGGGAATGGCTTCCTCTCCAAGGATGAATTCTTCACCATGATGCGGTACCAAGTGGGCCCTGGCAATCCTAAGACAGCCTGATGGTTTCAATGGGAAAACAAGTCCAAAGGAGGACAGGCAAGGCTAGGTGTCCACCTGTGTTGAAAGGGGACATTACATCAGAGACTCTCAGAGCACTCACAGTTTACCTTGTCCACGCCTCTGCCTTGAGCAGGATCTATATTTCCATTGTCCACAACAGCCAGAAAAGTCTCCCTAGCTAACACGACAACAACGAAATACCAGTGTGGCCAGGCGCCAGTGGCTCACACCTGTAATCCAAGCTACTCAGGAAGCTGAGATCTGAGGATTGGGGTTCAAAGCCAGTCCGGGCAGGAAACCCTGTGAGATTTTTATCTCCAATAAACCACCAGAAAACCAGAAGCGGCACTGTGGCTCAAGTGGTAGAGCTCTAGCCTTGAGCTGAAGAGCTGAGGAACAGCACCCAGGCCCAGAGTTCAAGCCCCATGACTGACAAAAATAAATAGCAACAACAAAAAACACCAGTGTAACCAACAGCAAAAGTTCATATAATCCTTTTAGATATCTTTGAATTCTTGTCAACTCTTTTGTTGTATGCTGAACACTGAGCTTTACATGATGCAATGATGGATGAATGAAGGTTGTTCACCTAATGTTAATCAGTATGACAAGCTGGTAGGAGAAACATGGGGAGTTTCAGTCCTTTTATTCTGTGTGTGAAACCATGTTTGTTTTTTGTCAGTTGTGGGGCTTGAACTCTAGGCATGGGCACTGTCCCTCAGCTCTTCAGCTCAAGGCTAGCACTCTACCACTTGAGCCACAGTGCCACTTCCAGCTTTTTCTGTTTATGTGGTGCTGAGGAATTGAACCCAGGGCAAGGCATGCGAAGCAAGCACTCTACCATTGAGCCACCTTCCAAGCCCACCATGTCTTATTTGTATGTGCCAATTCTGGGGCTTGAACTTAAGGCCTGGGTGCTGTCCCTGAGCTTTTTTTTTTTGCATAAATCTAGTGTTCTACCACTTGAGCTATATCTCCATTTTTGGTTTTGTGGTGCTTAATTGGAGATAAGAGTCTCATGAACTTTCCTACCTGGGCTACCTTCTAACTGCAATCCTCAGATTTCAGATTCCTGAGTTGCTAGGATTACAGGTGTAAGCCACTAGTGCCCAGCCCATTTCTTGTTTTGATATGCCAAGAAAGACCAACTTTGGGCATCATGAACTTCTCATTCCTGAGGACCCAACATCAGTAACACACCCCGCTTCAGCACCACCAGGGCATATTTCTCTTTGTTTTTTTTTTAACATCTGTTTCTTCCATATTGACATTGATACAGAGCAGGGATCTGATACTTAGCTCAAGGAGTAAGACAGAGTGAAATAAATGAGCAAATAAACAAGGAATGAAAAATAGCAGCCCAGATACATTTCATGTTTCTGTCCCTCTACACTTTTACCTCTTACAGTCTAGATACCCCAGCTAGACACAGGCATGTATGTGTGTGTGTGTGTGTGTGTGTGTGTGTGTGTATGAGAGAGAGAGAGAGGAGGCTTGAACTCAGGACCTGAATGCTGTCCCTGAGTCTCTTTGTGCTCAAGGCTAGCACTCTACCACTTGAGCCATAGCCCCACTTTTCTGACACGGGCTCTTAAAAGAGCAAAACAGCCAGGTGCTGGTGACCCCTAGCCATTACCTTTCCCAGCTTAGGGTGAGTTAGCCAAGCTGAATTTATGAACTTAGCATGTTTTCAATGTTGTTTCTCAGGTCACTGGTAACCACTTTAAGGAATATGGGGTCTGCTCCTCCCTGTACTTGGCCTAAGCCTGACCTCACTGGGCAACAGGTTGTTTGTCTCTTGTCCTCCAGATCCTTCATCGAGATCTCTAACAACTGCCTATCCAAGGCCCAGCTGGCCGAGGTGATGGAGTCCATGTTCCGAGAGTCAGGTTTCCAGGACAAGGAGGAGCTGAACTGGGAGGACTTCCACTTTATGCTTCGGGACCACCACAGCGAGCTCCGCTTCACACAGCTCTGTGTCAAAGGTAGAGTTGGAGGTGTGGGAGTGTATAAAGAATGGTCACAGTCAGGTAGGGAGTGTGTCTTCAAAGCAGTTGTCCTGATGGACAAGACCCAGGTCTAATTCTTCTCTGCGTCCTTAGTGCCTTATACTGAGTCTGACATGGAACCAAGGGCTCCGTGTCAAGTAGTATTCTGCACAAAGTTGCTCACTGGAGTCACTGGAACTCAGCCTATACACTTTCCAAAGCTGTGGGCATTGACCTGGACTGTATCTGGCCAGAGGAGGACTTACTCTATTCTTTACACAAAGGACAGACAGGATTGCATCTAGTTGCCCTATGTACATACAGTCGATTCTTTGTGGGGGAGAGGGAGGAGAATAGGGCTAAAGGCTGAGATGTACACATGACCCAGAGGGGTTGAGAGAAGAACGCAGTTTCCCACCATGTGGAAGCCAGTCCAGTTTCTTCTTCTCCTTTTTCAGGTGTTGGAAACATCTTTAAACCAAATATCAGCTCTCGAGTCTCATTCATCACTCGGACTCCTGAGAACTGGTATTGGGGAACAAAGCACTGGGAGGTCTCCTTGGCTAGGGCCCCTGCGCCAATCAGCCCCTATGGTCAGATGTTTGCCCCAAGAAAGTAGTTCTTATCGACATGGCCAGTTTCAACCCAAATCCCAGTTGCCTCCCAAGCGAATACTTCCTAGGAGATTGGGTGTCTTCCTGCCATTCTAGACTCTTGTTATCCTGCGAACACATCAGCCAACCCTAACCACTCATTCCAGCATGTCCCCTGCCTGGTCCCAGGATCCCCCCCTCCCACCTCCACCCCACGCTTGCACCCAGTGCTTCTTTTCCTGGCTGGAAAGACCAGGGGTGAACAGGCTCCATTTTTCTTTTTCTCAGCTCTTACCCCAAGGAGCTGGTCCTCCCTGCCTCAGAAACCCCTGGTCTAAAGAAGAGATTTGGCAAAAAGTGAGTGCTTCTTAGAGCTCTGGGCCCAAGAAGACAAGGAGAAAAGTCTTGGGGGGGGTCTCTGGTCTTTGACATAAAGAGAGACCCTTCGAAATCTCATCCCTGATCTACCTGGTGGGGCTAGGGTGCCCAATGACTTTTCCTCCTCTCTCAGCCTCTATATCGCCTTCTCCAGCTGGCTCAGAACAACACCATAGTGGTAGTAAAGGCTCTCTTGGCCCCTGTGGCCTTGGGCACAGCAGTGGGTCTGTGCAGGGAGCAGGAGGAGGGAAGGACAGAACAAGTAAGGATGGAGAGAAAGAGTTGGGAGAAGCCGGGTACCGGTGGCCCACACCTCTAATCCTAGCTATTCAGGAGACTGAGATCTGGGGATCGTGGCTCCAAGCCAGACAAGGCAGGAATATCCGTGCAACTCTTATCTCCCATTAACCACCAGAAAACCAGAAGTGGTGCTGTGGCTCAAGTGGTAGAGTGCTTGCCTTGAGCTGAAGAGCTCAGGGACAGCGCCCAGGCCCAGAGTTCAAACCCCACAACTGACAGAAGAAAAAAAAAGAGTTGGGAGAATGACAGGTTGCCTTCTCTAGGGCAGTGGGGACCCCTGAGCTGTACACAGAAGCCCTTCAGGAGAAGATGCAACGGGGCCTTGTCGCCCAGAAACTACAGCAATTCAAGCGCTTTGTGGAGAACTACCGACGTCACATCATGTGTGTTGCAATCTTCTCAGCCATCTGTGTGGGCCTGTTTGCAGAACGATCCTACTGTAAGAGCTCTGGGCTGGGGGGGGGGTCCCCTCCCCTTGCCTTCAGGGAGGAATGGAGCTTGGGTTGCCTTTCTTGCTGCTCAATACTTGGATGGAGAACCCCGCCCCCCCTTCAGATGTTCCAAATGGGGCTCAAGAACCTACTTCTTCTTCTACCATGCCCCAGATTATGCATTTTCCTCACCACCCACCGACATTGAAGAGACCACCTACGTGGGCATCATCGTGTCCCGGGGCACGGCAGCCAGCATCTCCTTCATGTTCTCCTACATCCTGCTCACCATGTGCCGCAACCTCCTCACCTTCCTGCGGGAGACCTTCCTCAACCGCTACATCCCCTTCGATGCCGCCGTGGACTTCCACCGCTGGATCGCCATGGCGGCTGTCATCCTGGCCAGTAGGTGGCCCCTGACATTCTCCTCCTTTGCTGTAGCCCCCTACCGTGAGGAGCCAGGGAACTCCCTGTGTCTTCTTCTCTCCTCTCGGGTGTCTCTGCTCTCTCATGCAGGGCTAGAGGTCATCGGCCCTGGTTAACATCTTTGACAAGAATCTCTCTTTCAGTTTTGCACAGTGCTGGTCACGTGGTGAATTTCTACATCTTCTCAGTCAGCCCCCTCAGCCTGATGGCCTGTGTATTCCCCAACGTCTTTGTGAATGATGGGTCAGTTCTGGGGAAGGGGGTCTCCTGGGTCTCTTGCATGACCTGAGGGTATCTACGAAGACATAGATGGCCATAAGATACCCACACTGAACTCCTTCCTGAGTAAAGGTACAAAGCCAGCCCTCTGGAGGAAGATAAAAGGTGCCATGTTTGCCCTCAGGCAGGATGCTGGCTGTGATCAAGCAGAAAAAGAGCAGGAGAAGTACCTACCACATAGCTTACTATATCAGTTTACCAGCCATTCATCAGTCCAACATTTATGAGCCATGTTCTGGGTGGTGATTCACTTGCTAGAAGTGGGGATGCCAAAATCGATACAGATGTTCAACAGATGCTTATTGAATCTCTACCGCATATGTCAGTAGAGCTGTGAGCCTAGGGGTAGAGTAGTAAGTAAAATAGAAACCCTTTGCCCGCACAGAGCTTTCAAAACAGAAGACCGGATACTCAAGACAGAAAGAGAGTTTAGGATAACAGAGGAGCAAGATTGCTGAGGGTGTAGAGGAGAGGATCATGGGAGAATGAGGGCCATTAACTTCTTGGAAGGATCTCTTGGCCATCTGGGTGGAAGGGTCTGGTAACCTCAACAGTCAGGGCCAAGAGGAACAAAGTCAGCTTGGGGTGTGGTTGTAGTGGAACCCCTCCTGCCCCAGCCAGAGTTGCCATGTGCTTTTTTCCCCACAGATCTAAACTTCCCCAGAAGTTCTACTGGTGGTTCTTTGAGACGATTCCAGGTAGGAAGTGGACCAGTGAGTCTGTCTGAGAAACTCTGCTTCTGACTCCATTTCCCTGAATACACACTGGCCTGGAATAGGGCTGAAGAGATGAGAGGGGAGGGAGGGGGACATGGGGGAGTGCATTGTTATATTTTCAGTCCAGGCTGCAGTCCTGAGACCAGTCACTGACCCTATCCTCCGGCCTATCCCAGGTATGACAGGAGTTCTGTTGCTCCTGGTCCTGGCCATTATGTATGTCTTTGCCTCTCACCACTTCCGCCGCTGCAGCTTCCGGGGTTTCTGGCTGACTCATCACCTCTATGTCATTCTTTATGCCCTGGTAAGACAGTTCTGAGCTGTATCAGGCCATAGATGAGGGTCCTCAGGAGAGGGGTGGAGGGTAAAGGTGGATGCAGGAGAATGAGACCTACGATCTCAGACTGAGTCCCTGAGATTTGAGATCTTGGAGTCCAGCCTCAGGCCAGCGCTTCTGCACAGGGGTGCAGGACAGGGATCCCGCTGGAACTGAGCTATACTAATTGGCCATCATCTCCAGCTCATCATCCACGGCAGCTTCGCTCTCATCCAACTACCCAGTTTCCACATCTACTTCCTGGTCCCAGCCATTATCTTTGGTGGGGACAAGCTGGTGAGCCTGAGCCGGAAGAAGGTGGAGATCAGCATGATGAAGGTGGAGCTGCTGCCTTCAGGTACCAGCCAGCTTGGGTGAGGAAGCACCAAAGATCAGTTCCTCAGGTTCAACACAGGACAGGCCTCCTGACCTCTGGCACTGCCTCTGACACCCTCTTGGGAACTCCTGAAGCTTTCTCCGGATAGAAATGCAGCTGGCCCAAAGAAAGGCCAGAGTAGCTGGGCATCAGTGGCTCATTACGATCATTATGGGAGGTGGTGGAGATGATTTTAGGTGTCACATGACCATCACATCTTCAGGGCTCCCGTTGTAAGAAAATTGTTTCTCCTTTTCATTTGACTCCGATCCAACTGTCTCGGCGGTGTTAGTAAGCCTTTGGTTCTCACCAGCACCTCCTCCTTGTTCAAGAAAGATCCGGCAGGCCCCGAGGCTCAGCTTGGTCAAGGCATGGCAGTCACCATCAGTTCGATGGTAGCAGGTTGGATGGGGAACTTGAGTTCCCCTCTACCTGCAGGCCGGAATTCAGGGCAGTAACAAGAGGCCTGAACCGTTCATGGGAAGAAGGACAGAAAAAGAGAGAGGCTGGGTCAAGGAAGCAGAGAACTCCAACCCTTGTGCTAGCCACAAAATAAAGTTGGGGATGCTCCTATTCTCTGTCCCCAGGAACCCAGACCACATGACACTCCCTGGGCCTTTTTAGTGTGGAAAGGACAGACACCCATCAGTTGTCACCTACCCAGAAATAGACCTTCTGATCTATGCTTTTCCCCTCCTATGACACTTCCTCCCAGGTGTAACTCACCTGCAGTTCCAGCGGCCCCAAGACTTTGAGTACAAGTCAGGGCAGTGGGTGCAGATCGCTTGCCTGGCCCTGGGGACCACTGAGTACCACCCCTTCACGCTGACCTCGGCGCCCCACGAGGACACCCTCAGCCTGCACATCCGGGCAGTAGGACCCTGGACCACTCGGCTCCGGGAGATCTACTCCCCGCCAACGGGCCTAGGCTCTGCCAGATACCCAAAGGTATCTACAAATCTCCCTTTTTGGTCTCTGTCATTGGCTGAAGATCCCTATCTCTCATGCCCGGAGACCAGGCTCTCCAGCCACTCCAAGGCCAGGCTGTGAGGAGGCTGGGGTACCTTAGAGGAGAAGCTCTGGTCCCCTCCTGTCTGTGTTCCCCCTCTTCCCCCCTCCCTCCAGCTTCCATTGTGGCCTGCACACTGGGACAGGGTCAGGTTCATCTCTCTCCCGTTCTCTCAGCAGCTGTACCTCGATGGACCATTTGGGGAAGGCCACCAGGAGTGGCATAAGTTTGAGGTGTCCGTGCTGGTGGGAGGGGGCATTGGGGTCACCCCTTTTGCCTCCATCCTCAAAGACTTGGTCTTCAAATCCTCAGTGGGCACTCAGATGCTCTGCAAAAAGGTAACCCTCCCTCCCTCCCTCTTTCCCTTCCTCCCTCCCTCCCTCCCTCCCTCCCTCCCTCCCCGGTCCTTGAGGAACTCAGGGCTTGATGGTGTTCTGACCTTGCAGCAGGGTTAGGGAAGCTGTGTGCTGGGGCTCTGGGGTCTTCAGGAGCCGTTACATGCAGTTATCCAGATAACAGACTCAGAGGGAGGAAGGAGTGTGGTCAGACCCGGCATCAGGCCGGTGGGGCTTTCCAGTCTCCCAGGCAAAGGCACTTGGGATTGTACGGAGCCTGAGCAAAGTGTGTTCCCACTCAGATCTACTTCATCTGGGTGACCAGGACCCAGAGGCAGTTCGAGTGGCTGGCTGACATCATCCGGGAGGTGGAGGAGAATGACTGCCAGGACCTGGTGTCTGTGCACATCTACATCACCCAGCTGGCTGAGAAATTCGACCTCAGGACCACCATGCTGGTGGGTCACGACTGGCCAGGCTAGGGCAGGCAGAACCCGTGTCTGGGTGAGGGGGTTGGGCCTGGTGGTATCTGTGTGATCTTCCTCCGTGTCCCCTCCCCCAGTACATCTGTGAGCGACACTTCCAGAAGGTGCTGAACCGGAGTCTGTTCACGGGGCTGCGTTCCATCACCCACTTTGGCCGGCCGCCCTTTGAGCTCTTCTTCAACTCCCTGCAGGAGGTCCACCCACAGGTCAGTCATCTACTGTCACCCTGGGACTCTGGTCTTGCCCTGCCAGGATATCTTGGTCTTCAAGGTCCCCCCGCCTCCTCCCTAGCTCTGTCTTGAGCAGAGAAGTTCTATCCTGGCTAAGGTAGGGTATTGTTGCAAGAGGATTTTAACCCCCACTTCACCCCTAAATAGCTCAAGATTCCTCCCCAAAGTCTGGGGTAGAACTCTGGTCATTCTGGTCAGGCTGTGGAAGAATCTTTCTTTGGGGTTGTGAACATCACAAGGCTGCAGACCTCTCCTTTCCTTCCTTTCCCTCCCTCCCTCCCTCCCTCCCTTCCTTCCTTCCTTCCTTTCTTTCTTTCTTTTCTTTCTTTCTTTCTTTCTTTCTTTCTTTCTTTCTTTCTTTCTTTCTTTCTTTCTTTCTTTCTTTCTTTCTTTCTTTCTGTTTTTGTTTTTTGTTGTTGTTGGTTGTGGGACTTGAACTCTGGGCCTGGGCGCTGTCCCTCAGCTCTTCAGCTCAAAGGCAAGCACTCTACCACTTGATCCACACCACCGCTTCCTGTTTTCTGATGGTTTATTGGAGATAAGACTCTCATAGACCTTTCCTGGCCAGGCTGGCTTTGAACCGTGATCCTCAGATCTCAGCCTCCTGAGTAGCTAGGATTACAGGCGTGAGCCATTAGCGCCGGGCTAGACCTCTCCTTTTCTCTCCAATTACCTGACAGGTGCACAAGATCGGCGTGTTCAGCTGTGGCCCTCCAGGAATGACCAAGAACGTGGAGAAGGCCTGCCAGCTCATCAACAGACAGGACCGGGCCCACTTCGTGCACCACTATGAGAATTTCTAAGCTTGTCCTCCCTGGATCCTGCTTCCAGTCTCCCATTCCCCAGAAATGAGCTTGCCACCAATTGGGAATGGTGGCGGATGCCTGTAATCTCAGCCCTTGGAAGGCTGAAGCAAGAGGGTCTTGAGTTGGAGACCAGCCTGGGCTTCCCCCCCCCAAAAAAAAAAAATCCTGACCTGCTGGTGATATCTCTGTGAGCATTTGCCTCAGCCAGAATGCTTGTCTTTGCCTACCCATCCAGTGCTCTGGGAAGCTAGAGAAAGTCTCCGCTACCCTTGTCCTCGCTCAAGCCCTGCAAGTTGTCATAAACAATGTGGGGAAGGGACAGCTCTGCTGTCTCCACTGTTGCTCACAGTCTCAACTGTGAAAAGGTCCAAACTGGTCACTTCGGAGAACTCCTCCATTTTGTTCCTACAACATTGTTTGCAACTGGCTTCGCCAGAAGCCTTTGAAATAAAAGGAGAAGTGAGGATATCTCAGCGAGAGAATCTCCAAGCCCAGCTCAAGCACCATAATGCTAGAAATCTGGACAACCCAACCACCTCTGGGCCTTTCCTCCTCCTGCTCCAAAGAAAAGCAGCCTGACTCCCGCTTCCTGCCCCTTGGAAGAGTCTTAGGAGACCCCAGAGAAGAAAGATGCCTTTCCAAGCCCTAATGTTCCTGCTGTTGGCCAGGGTGTCTGCTGTTCTAACCACTCTGGGCAGGCCTCTCTCCAAACTGCTTGGAGCAGCCAGTCTACCAGATGTCCAGAGCTCTCTTTCAGTTCCCAACTTCCAGGGGAACTAGATAACTGACTGTCCAGGATTGCCCTGGACATAGTTAGCACCGGAAGTCTCTCATTCTCAGGCAGATCAGGGCACTTGATCACCTTACCTAGAAGCTAACCTGACATGTTAGCTCCACCAGCATTAAGATTTGTCCTTTTTCTTCTTTACCTTTTTACCCTCCCCCAGCCCCTACAAAGCTGGGCTTTGCTTATAGTAAGGTATACAGACTTTCTTTTGCCAATACTGGGGTTTTGAGCTCAGGGCTTCATGCCAACCGTGCCCCTCCCTCCTGAACTTATTTTGCTTTTAGTTATTATATTTCAGAAAAGGATTTCAAAAGGTTATATTTTGGAAAAGGATTTCAAAAGCTTTCAGAACCACAATTCTTCTACCTCTGAGTAACTGAATTACACATGTAAACCACCAGCTTATTCTTTGCCATAAGGTCTCAATAAATGATTTGTTCTGGGCCTTGAACCATGATCCTCCTATCTCTGCCTCCCAAGTAGCTGAAATTATAGGGATGCTCCACAGAACCCAGATGGAGGTATACAAATCTTAAAGTAATCATATAAAGGTTTTTCATCATTCAGGTTTAGAAATACAATAGTTCAAGAGTCCCATCACCCCAGAAACTTTCCTTGCATTCCCCTCCAGTCCTTCTTACCCCAACGCTTGGATGCAACTACTAATATGATTTCTGTCGCTCAAGTTTGGATCATACTGAATGTATTCCTATAAGCCCAGCCCATTTCATTCACCACAGTGCCTTTTAGACTCATTCATGCTGTTCTGTCTGTCAGTCAGTAGTTTGTTTCTTTTTATTGCTGAGTAGTATTCTGTTGCTGCCCCCATTCTTCTGTTGATGGGCTTTTGTGTTGTTTGGGTTTGTTTTGCTGTGAATAAACTGCTATGAGATTCTTGTACCTACCTTTTGGTGGACCAAATGTGCTCATTTCTCTTTGGTATATAGCTAAGGGATAGATGACAGGGCTGGGGGTGGAAGGTGGGGGGTGGGGTTCTCCAGTTTGGTAGAAGTTGTAATAGGAGGAGTTTCAGGCTATCTCAATCTCTCTGAGCCTGGCTCCTCTCTGCATTAGCTTTATTCAGATGCCAAATGTCTCTGCTTCCCAAGATATTGGAGATCCTTCTCTGACAACACTATAGTAATATGAGGGCAGAGCACAGGGACTCACATCTGTAAACCAAGTTCTTAGGAGGTTGAGGCCTTAGGATCACGGGTTTGACACCAGCTCGGGCAGGAAAGAGACTATGAGACTCTTCTCTCCAATTAACCACCAAAAAGCCAGAAGTGGAGTTGCCAATCAAGTGGTAGAGCCCTAGCCTTGAGCAAAGAGTTCAGGATCAGTACCCACCCAAAAACAAAACAAAACAAAAAAACCAATCCCCAGGAATCTAGCAACTAGTCAAAGAAAACAACAAGATTCAAGGGCAATGACTGGACTAAGAATATCATGAAGAAAGTACAAAGTCATTGTGGTTGAGGAAATGGCCTTTGGGGCCACCAAGCTGGGGCTCCAATCATACCACGCCAGTTACCTTTATCCAGGTTCCATTACTGTTCTGGGTCTCAATTTCCTCCCCCGTGAGGGTAAGATGATACAGTGTTTGTAAAACTCAGAAAGAAATATGATCCCCTATGACTTCTCCTGCAGCTCTACCTGCCAACTCCGAGACACCAATGCAGAGATACAATCAAGAAGGATCATATGAACATGAGTATAGGACTTGGTGAGGGGTTGGAAGGGAGAGAAAGAGATCTCTTAAGATGCTGGAAGTTGGGTGCTGGTGGCTCGAGCCTATAATCCTAGCTACTAAAGAGGCTGAGATCGGAGGATTGTAGTTCTTAGCAGTCAGGGCAGAAAAGTCCCTGCGAGACTCTTATCTCCAATAAACCACTAAAAACACTGGGAATGTGGCTCAGTGGTAGACTGTTTGCCTAGCATGCATGGGTTTGATTTCTCAGTACCACATAAAGAGAAAAAGCTAGAAGTGGTCCTGTGGCTCAAGTGGCAGAGTGCTAGCCTTGAGCAAAAGAAGCTCAGGGACAGTGCCCAGGCCCTGAGTTCAAGCCCCAGGACTGGCAAAAAACAAAAACAAGAACAACAACAACAACAAAAACAGAAGTGGTTTTGTGGCTCAAGTGATAAGAGTGTTAGCCTTGAGCACAAGAGGCTGGAGGATAGAACTCAGGCAATGAATTCAACCCCCACAGCTGACAAAAAAAAATGCTGGCATACGATGTTCCTAGAAATAATTTCTCCAGCCTCAGAAAATGAGAGCAGCTTTAAAGAAAAGAATCATAATCTTAGCTGGGTGCTGGTGGCTCACGCCTGTAATCCTAGCTCCTCAGGAGGCTGAGATCTGAGGATTGCAGTCCAAAGCCAGCCTGGAAAGTTCATGAGAGTCTTATCTCCAATAAACTACCCAGAAAAAAATGAAGTGGTGTGGTGGCTCAAAGTGGTAGAGCACTATCTTTGAGCAAAAAGAGGCTCAGGGACAGTGTCTAGGCCCTGAGTTCAATTCCCAGTGCAGGTGCGCACGTGCATGCGCACACACACACACACACATACAGAGAAGGAATGGAAGTCTCAAAAGAACATTAGAACATAAACAGAAAAATTATCTGAAAGGCTTGCTGATGGCATACTTAATGACCCCGAGGGCAGTTAACTAGTGGTAGGATTCACTATCATGAAAACAACTAAAAGAATGGATAGGAAGATCTGGCAGAAATAAATACCAACATGTGGATGAAGTTATTGGAGGAAATCTGAAATCCATGTTTCTCTAGAGCAATATTAAAAGACAACTCAAGGCTGGGAATGTGGCTTAGAGTATTTGTCTAGCACGCATAAGGCCCTGGGTTCAAATCCTCAATACCACATAAACAAACAAACAAAAAGACAACTCAATTGTTAATAGAAATCAGTACTAGCATTGGCTAGTTGGTAGTTCAGTGGTAAAGCATTTGCCTAGCACACACAGAGCCCTAAAAGGAAATTAATAGTAGAGTACCTAAGTCCAGTTATCTATCTATCTATATGTAAAAACTTCTTCTGATAAAGGAACCAGTTTTAAAAGTCAAGCATGGAGTTTCATGCCTGTATTCCCAGCACTCAGGAAGTCGAGGTAGAAGGAACAGAACTTGAAACTAGCCTGGGATATAGAATCCTGTTACATGAAATAAATAAGTAAACAATAAATAAAAGAAAACCAGCTTTGAAGCTAACTTTTTGGCTTTGAAAGCTACGAAGTTGAAGTCATGTTTTCTTCTGAGCGAATGTAAAAGGACAAAGACAACTAAGTCCTCCACAGGAACCACATAGAAGGAGGGAAAGGAAAGCAAAAGGAGGAAGTGAACACAGGCAAGCCCAAGGAGGAAGATGTAAAGTTGATGGGAGTGGGGGAGGGGAGAGGCTGCTACTCAGTACTTTCTAGGTTGCTGGTGATCATCCTACCCTCCCTCTCAGAAAAGGTGCAGAATTCTCCCAATACAGTAGAGACAGGTTTGAAAAACAGCCATCAAAAGTCAATGCATGGGCTGGGAAGGTGGATCAGTGGTAAAGCCCTTGCCTTGCATGCATGATGCCCTGGGTTCGATTCCTTAACACCACATAAGCAGAAAAAAGCCGGAAGTGGCGCTGTGGCTCAAGTGGTAGAACGCTAGCCTTGAGCTGAAGAGCTGAGGGACAGTGCTAAGGCCCAGAGCTCAAGCCCCATGACCAAAAAAAAAAAAGTTAATGCATAACATTGACCAAAAAGACATGTACTCTTTACCTAACTTATGCAACTGTAACCCCTCTGTGCATCACCTTTATGAAAAAATTAAAAAATTTTAAGTCAGTATAAAGACAAGTATATAACTCAAGTGGTAGAGTCAATGTACTAGCCAGATATGGTGGTGCACATTGATCATTTCAGCACTTGGGAGGCTAAGATAGAAGCATCATGAGTTTGAGGCTAATCTGGACTGCATAGAAAATGTCTCAGCAGGGCCTGGGAATGTGGCTTAGTGGTAGAGTGCTTGCCTAGCATGCATGAAGCCCTGGGTTTGATTCCTCAGTACCACGTAAACAGAAAAAGCCAGAAGTGGCACTGTGGTTCAAGTGATAGAATGCTAGCCTTGAGCAAAAGAAGCTTAGAACAGTGCCCATACCCTGAGTTCAAGCCCTGGGACAGGCAAACAAACATACACACACAAAAATATATCTCAGCAATGAATTCTTGTAAAATAAATATTGAATGATTCTGCAGGCCTTCTGAATTTCATAACCATATATTTCTTTTCCAGTTTCT